TATGAACTTTTTTTTTATTCCACATAACTTTTCAAGATATAAAACTTTTAATATAATCATAATTTCAAAATGTACATGGATTTGTGAAAAGTAAAGGTATAGTTATTCTCAAGGTCCCGTATATCCACAAATAGTTCCAGTTTTGAAAATTTCATCCTTCTAAAAGTTGTAGATCTTGAAAAGTTATGCGAAATGAAAAAAAGAATCGCATCGATCGGATACCCGAGTGCAAAGTTAAGTTCGTTTGAAGTTTCGGCCGAAGTTAGGAGTTGATCGAAAAAAGAAAAAAAATTTGGACCAAACCGCTGGGTGGGGTGGCGGTTTTGGGTCAAACCGCCACCCCACCCAGCGGTTTGGTCCAAAATTTTTTTTTTTATAACCGCCCCCTAGGCCCGCGGTTTGCATAGAAAACCGCGCCCCCGACAAACGGTTTTCGTGTAAACCGCAGGGTGGGGTGGCGGTTTTTGAAAAAGGGTGGTACTTTTGGAATTTTTTGGGATTGGGTGGTACTTTTGAAATTTTTTTTTTAGACAGTGGTACTTTTGGATTTTTTCCGAAGCTTTTGGGGACTTTGTGTTAAGTCTATCAAAGCCGAAATTATTGCAAATTTGTATGCAAAGGTTATGTTCAAAATAAGTTGAACATAGTACGAAAGAGTATACCTCCAATGTGTTGGAGATGAAATTTGGTAAATGCACGTCTAGAGGATTGCATTATGAGTAAGCCACAAGCGATAAGGAATTTTAATTCCTTTGGTACTTGTGAAGACATGATAATTTGTTAATTATGTATGTGGTTTAGGAATTGATGTTTCCTATGCTATAAGGGCAAGAAAAATGTAGCTAATATTGATTCATATAAGGATTGTACAAACTTGCCAAAGAATGGCGATCATCAAAATAATCATCGTCGGAATTGTTTGTGGTATATGTACACTATACCATTGGTAAACAATTTGACTTACGATTATTGTGTGTAACTATGTGTCATAATTGTTTATGGTATATATCTATATATACCATTGGCAAACAATTTGGCATGAGAGCTCAATTGAGATGATTTATTGAACTTAGAAAGTCTGAATTACTTGTGATATATTTATGAAGTAGATACAATTGGCAAGTAATCAGACCATGGACATAGAAAAATTTATTGGAATTACTTGTGGTATGTCAGGCTTCCTTGACTAAAGCCATTGGCAAGTAATTAGATGGGTCTCCTGTATTGGAATCTATCTGAATTACTTGTGGCATCTAGATTGTCCTTGACCGATACCACTTGTAAGTAATTCGGTGATATATATTTCAAATAATAATATCTGAATTGTTTGTGGTATGCTAATTCAATTAGTTCATACCATTGGTAAACAATTAGATAAGATAGTGGTTATCAAGTTCAATAAGTAAAGTCATGGAAAATAAATGGATTATTCCATGATGTTTGGCAAATGATAGAATTGTGGGGGAGAAGAGCTAGCCGTTGTTTAGGCTACAATCTCAAGACCCTACAATGGGAAGCAAACTTATCCATAAGACAAAAGTGGGAAGGTAAAACAATTCATACTAGAAAGTATGAGGGTGTCCAGGGAGAAAAAGCAAGTCCATAAACCTTGCAGAGTTTACCCAGTTGAGGGTATAACTTAAAAGTAAAATCTAGCATATGTTGACATTTATGTCAAAGAGCTGGTTTATGAAATCCAAAGATGATTTCTTAGAGATGGTGATACACTCTTCCCTAAGAGAAAATGTTGTCGATTATATAAATGAACAACAGTTCCCAAATCAGAAACATTGGGTTTCAACAACTATGGCGAAATAGTTGAAATGTGAGGGATAAATTGGGGAGAAGTGATGTGGAATGTCGCTTGGGTATTCAAAAGTGAAGTTATGTGAATACTTAGAAGTTTTACTTAAACCCTAAACTAAGTCATAAATGTCACTACATTTGAAGAGATACTTGTGAAGCTTAAGTACTCTAAGGTTAATGAAGTAGAGGGACTTCAACACCGTTAGCATGTATTATGATTATTGAAAGGCAATAAAAATCATGTCAAGCACACCTGATGTGTAGTGATCAAAAGAGACGAGTCTTTGGTGTATTGTACCCAAAGGGAACTCTCCGGATGAACCAAAAGGCAATCTATTAATGGATATGCATTTATGGTTGATGGGGAGCAATACCTTGGGAAACGTCCAAGTTAAACTATATATATACCCACTCTAAGACCGGTGAAGTTTGATAGTATGACCCGCAATGACTGGCGTTAATAAACACACTTGTGCACAAAATGGTTATTGGCTTATTGCAAGGTCTAGAAGTGTTATGTGAAAATCTCGTCATAGATAATAGATACATAACATTATTGAATGCTTAATTTCTAGTGAAGTTATCGAAGTTGAACACTTTAGATCAAATAATAAAAAACATGGGGCCCACCTAGAAATTAGTTCAAGCATCGAAGGGAATGGACTCGTGGCATAGGAGAAGTCATCATGGCGGTAACTCTACCTAAGTAGGATTGACAGACCCAACCTCTAGATTCAAGGAGCAAACAAAGTTGTGAATGATGGTCCGACATTGTCAAATTTCCAATGTCCATTTTCATGACGAGACAATGTCCAACTATAAGGGTAAACCTAAAGATGGAAGGTTTTTAATGGTTTCTAAGTTTGACATGGGATGTGATCAAATAGTGTAATTTCGGAATACACGTTAAGAAATCAGTAATCACCAATGTGAGTGTGAATTGGAGCCGCTTCAAGGAGAATAAAAGAAGGCCAGTTCTCTAAGCACTCATGAGACCAGACGATGTTCATGGCTAAAACGAACACAACAATGAAGAACCAATGAACGGATAAGAGTTAGTTGTGTGACATATGTAGTCTTAGTATACAAGCAAAACCGACGGTTCAAAGATATCACATCTACCGATTGGTGAGTATACTCGATATATGTTCACTAAGGAAGGTTCAAAGGGAAACCTACCTATCCCGATGCAACTAATTCTTAGTCGAGAATCACACGAATTTTTTGCATAGTTTTTAAAGTACAACATTCTCCATTCATGTGGGGGATTGTTGGGAATTTTAGTGGTGTGAATGGAAATGAAAGGGGAAGGATCCAAGAGAGTTCTTGAAGTACCATGTCGGTAAGATGTGGAAAGGCACGGTCTCGAATTCAATCGATTTGATGTAATATATGTGGGTAATCGGCTAAATTGTGTTGTGTAACCAACCGGACGAAACCGAACCAAGTTGAACCAAATCTAACCGAACCATGTGGCGGTTTGGAATAACCAAATTGGTCCAAATTCCACGGGGCCGAACCGATGCAATGGTTGAAATATTTTAAACGAACCATTGCAATGGTTGAGGTGTAACCACCCATACGAAGAGTTGCCTCCCTTCGTATGTACCCCTTCATTTTCTATAAATAGCACCATACCCTCTCTAGTTTTGATTCCGAGATATAGACGTTTTCCCGGTACCAAAACTCTGTTAAATTCAAAAATTAGTTTTCTGCAATCTTTTCAAAGAGAAAATCGAGTCAAGTGTGATTCTCGACGGTTCGCTGCTTTCGATGAATTTCGGGGTTTGAGGTACCGCTACGCCGAAAAAGGTACGTCCTTTCTATCCTGGGAAGAATCATTCCATAACCTTGGGTACTACAGGGGAATAAGATTCCTTAATGAGAGAGTGAATTCTGTTAGTTAGGACGCTTGTATATGTATTTGCATAATTTCGCAATCTTATAAATTTCTTGTGTTGATTACATGATCCTAATTTGTTACTTGTTTTGAAAAATTTAGTATACGTGAACAATTTTCACAATATTTTTTTCATCATCTAGTATAAAATGTTATTTATGCTTCTAACATTTGGACGAGTTAGGCGCTAGGCAAAGTTAAACTGTGTTACGCCTACTTTCAACTGACATAGCACGGGAGTCACCCATAGTAAAGATTTGTGTCCTTAGGGGTGATTGCGAGGGTGGCGGGACCGGTTACTATAACAACACATGTTTTGTTGTTAGGGTGACAACACTAGCCTCCAACCAATAGAAAGGTAGAGTTGTGGTGACTTTTTATTAATTAAGTTGACCTAGTGTAAAATCAAAGCAGAGTTATAATTGGCATTATGAAAATATGTTTAAATAATAAAAATAATAAAAAAATAAGAATATTTTTTATTTTCGGCCCAAAATTTTGGCCGCCGGAAACTAGTCGTCGGTCACCGAAATATGCTTTTTTTCGTCGGAATATGCTTATCGGCGTCAGAATCTAGTCATCGGGGCCGGAATATGCCTATCGACGACGTAATCTGCTCACTGACGGTCGTCGGAGTTCGGTCAACGAACTTCGTTGACCGGTCAACGATCACCGGATATTGTGGTGTGCATTGTGAGATTTATGGTTTGGTTTCTCATATTTTTTTATGCATTTTGTAGTTTGCTTTATCGTGTTTCTGGTTTGCATTAAGAAGTTTTTGGCGTGCTTTCGAAAAAAATTTGGTTTGCGGGGTTTCTGGTTTGTTTTAATAGATTTTTGGTCTGCATTAGGATGTTTCTGGTTTTTTTTGTGGTTTGCTTTATCGTGTTTCTGGTTTGCATTATGAGGTTTCTTGTGTGCTTTCGAAAATTCTGTAGTTTGCTTTTTGAATTTTCTGGTTTGTTTTAATAGATTTTTGGTATGCATTAGGATGTTTCTGGTTTGTTTTTGTGGTTTACTTTATCGTGTTTCTGGTTTGCATTAAGAGGTTTCTGGCGTGCTTTTGAAAATTTTGTGGTTTGCTTTGTGAGGTTTCTGGTTTGTTTTAATAGATTTTTGGTCTGCATTAGGACGTTTCTGGTTTGTTTTTGTGGTTTGCTTTATCGTGTTTGTGGTCTGTATTATGAGGTTTCTGGTGTGTTTTTGAAAATTCTGTGGTTTGCTTTGTGAGGTTTCTGATTTGTTTTAATAGACTTTTGGTCTGTATTAGGACGTTTCTGGTTTGTTTTTGTGGTTTGCTTTATCGTGTTTATGGTTTGCTATAACCCAAAACGGGGGCAAAACCCTCCAAACTGGTGGGCACCTAACCTAATTACGCTTTCCGTGAAAACGACTGCAGAGCAATTTCGAGCCCTGAGGATGTGTCAATTGTCCTGTTTGAATTTGTAAATTGCAACAATTATGGGTTCGTTTTTCTGATCACAAGTCCCTCTCGATCGATCAACATATGTTCTTGATAACAAGGGAACTAAAACTTGACGATTCCTCTCGATTGCAGGGCTGGGCTCTTGCTCCGTGTAGTTCTCCGGATGTGCGATTCACGAATTCGCAGTTTGAATCCCCCAGAGGAAGCTCGACCTCCGCCTTGGGGATCATCCGGTGCTCGCGAGTGGTAGGGTTCCAGAATGCGATTTCCTCGTCCGAATTGCGGAGCGCGAGCAGTCCGTTGCAGCAGCAGAGCATCTCGGTTCCGAACATGTGAGCTTCGAGCGGGTGGTCCAGCTTCGCGAAGACGGAGTAGACGCGTTCGAGGTCCACGGAGGAGAGAAAAAAGTGTCGGTGGAGAGAAAACAGCTGTCGATTCTCGACGACTTGCGGTAGCAGAAGCTAGGACTTACCGAGGTCGCTATTGCAGCCATGGAAGACGACGGCTGCTGCTGACGTCGAACATGATCTCTCCCGTCGCTCGTATCTAGGGATTGATCGGCGCCAGAACATAGAAGGAAATAGAGGAGGACTTGCGACGCCGGCGGTGGAAGAAAGAAGGAATAGCCGAAGATGAGGCTGGCGAGGAACTGCAGAAATTGCATACGAGATAGAAGGAGTGGATTAGGGTTTGGAGATTATTTATTTAATTTTAATTTGATATTTGTTGTTAATTTACTTATTTACCCTTAATGAATTCTGTTGTTATAATAATTTGATAAGGTGTTGTTATTCTATCCGCTCCCGAGGGCAGCCAGCCGGCCATCCTTCCCTATATCCTCACCGGGTATATGTGTTGCGTATTGAATAGGTTATTCATAAAATCAGTAACAAAATCTTGATTTCTTTCTTCTGTTGTCATCAAATCGCTGTCAACTATGTACATACCATGATACCATCGATTCAATGATGAAGCGTGTCATTGGGTTTGGCCATTTCGTTTTTAGTTTGGGCTAATAGAAAAATCCTTTGTTCTATCAAATCGGTTATTTGTCCAATGAAAGCGACATGAGAAAGACTATTGGGTTATTCCATTTCTCAAACAATTACCCAATGGGCCTAAACTTCTATTTGAGTCGGGCTCCATAGCAAACTGTCAACTTCCTAACCCAATACAATAAACGAGAAACAAGTTCGAAAGCCCAACCATAGGAAAAAATCCAAAACTACCACTGTTTAATAAAAATTACAAATATACCACCCAAACCGAAAAACATTCCAAATCTACCACCATTATTTAAAAATCGAAAAATTAAAAATTACGATAGCATAAGAATTAAGAATAACATAAATTAATTAGTATATAGATTAAACGAAATCATTATAACAACAACAAAATTTAGGTTAAATGAGTACGTACCGCTTGATAGTCATAATAATAAATACCATCCTCTTCAAAAATATCGGTTATTTTTTTTTTCAGGAACCGGACAGGGATTAGACGGATTTTGAAGGAAAAACCAAAGAAATGTTTTCTGATGGCAGTTTCGACTTAGGCGCAACCAACAAACCACTATTTTCAAGGTTTTTGGGTGGAGAGGAGATGGATAGAGAGATAAACTTATATATAGAGAGAGAGAGAGAGAGAGAGAGAGGAGAATGAGTTTTGGTGTGAAGAAATGAGGAGGGGTGGTTTATAGTGTTCAAACCGTCTGGCCAAGGGACGGTTTTGTAATTTTACCCCAATGAAAACCGCTTCCCCAGCCAACAGTATTCAGTCCCCAACGTACAAACTGTGCTCCCGAGGTAGTTTTCATGGGCAGATGCCGACCGTTGAGCTGGCGTGCGGTCTGTCGTGGGATCGCCGTCTTATCCAACGGTTAGCATAAACGCCACTTTGGTGTGCGGTTTTTGGGCTGCCCTAAGGGAAACTGTCGCTTCCCCGTGCGTTTCTCCCTTAAATCGTTGTTTCCCCAGTCGGTTTTTAATAAATATTGGTACATTTTTTTTAGGTTTAGGTGGTATATTAATAAATTTTTTTTGATGGTGTTAGTTATGGATTTTTTCCAACCATAACACTTGGAAATGAGTTCCTTTTTTCGAGTAAATGACAAGTTTGCTCACTGGATTTACTAAAATGTGTTAAGTTTAGTCACTAAAAATATTTGATTCCATTCATGGCCACTAAAATTAGTTAAATATGTCAAGTTTGGTCACTCTCCGCCCAACTTCGTTAACTTTATTTGATGTGACAGTCAACTCTTATATTTGACCGTTAAATATATGACATGAAGATTAAAAAATAAAAAATTTGAATCATCTATATTTTCCACCTCATTTCACATTTACTAACAACAAAAATAAAATTTCATTCCTAATATGTTTCCAGTGCTGGCCGCTATTTTTTCTTCCTCCAAACCCAACATATGGTTCCGCCGTTCCGGTACGTGTCGCCGTCGACCTCCATCGTAAACACTAATCCTTTTCTAAAGCCGTCCATCAAAAACCCACACCCGAAAATTCGAATTTTCATCATCACCACCAGAAGACCAATAAATCCACAAGATCACTCCTGGGATCTTGCTTTGAGGGTTTCTGGGACTGTTAGTCTCCTCGTGTACATTTTCTTTCGCCTGGTGCAAAAGGGTTGGCCGTCGTTCGAGTCCCTAGCATCTTTTACAGCGTCCGTCACCGTCTTCCTCTGTTGTCGTCATCTAGCCGGCGAGGTCACCGACCCGACCACTCAAAGAATAAAGAAGAACTCTTGGGGGGGCCATTATTCCCCTCTCTTGCTTTCATCTTCTCCATTCCTCGCTTTCTTTTCTATCGCTTTTTCTTTTATTTTTGGAAATCGGTGTTTAATTCGTCACTAAGCTAGTGTATATGCATATGGATAATTCTTTCTCATTGTTTGTGGTTTCTTGGGCCTTTGCTTTAGTGGCAACATGTCAGAAACACATTTATTTGGGGTTTTCATTATTATATTAGGTAGGATAATTATAATTATGGTTAGTAGAGATTTAGTCGTATTAGGATTATTATTAGGATATTTTAGTATTTCCCTATAAATATATACTTTGGGTTTATAGCATAATCAATCAATCAAGAAGAATATTAAGCAAAGTCTCCTAAACTCTAATCTCTCCTCTCAACTCCTAATTTCTATTCTCTCCTAATCCAAGACTTCGGCCGATTCCCAATTCTATTCTGTTCTTCTCATCTAAATCCCTAATTTCTTATCCCGATCCCTAAATCCCTCTTTGTTACGTATAACCACGAGTGCCGAAGATCAGTATCGAGAATCCCTAGAAGCAGGGTTCTCACAGAACATTTTCCTTCAGTAGCTCTCTGAATCGATCGCCCGCCATTGATATGGAATACATTTCCCTTCTTCTTTTGTACTTTTCTGCAATGTTGTAGTCGAATTCGCATCCACAATTCCATAGGTGAGCGCGATACCAATCGAAATACCTCACCTTCTCACATTAACAATCCACAGCCCACCACCCCAAGCCCACCACCTATTCTTACATACTAACATACTAGCCCACAACAACAGTTGAGCCCACTCACGCACTAATAAAACAACCTATAAACCCCAATTAACTTCCGCATTACCTCCCCACTCCCTAGCGGCCCAGCTCCCCTTCCACATGATGGCTCCCCAACCGCCCACGCCACTTCCCTTTTCCCCGAGATGGCGAGACCACAACTCCTTCCTTTGCCAACCACTCGCAAGTCGCAACCCTCCCCACTCCCATCCACGTCAGCTTCTATCCTTCGTCGAACGAGACCACAACCCTTTCCTTCGTGAATACTTAGAAGCCCATTTTCATACAGCAAAACAAAGTCCACACGTTTAACATAGGGAGATTATTTTAGAGCAACAGTGTTGTACTTTGTACTTGTAGGCATGAAATTAGTAGGTACCAATTAGAGTTTTCCTATTCATCCATTAGTAACTTAGTATATGGCATAATATATTAATTAAAATATTATAAAATAAACGCTCTGTATACGCTCTCAAAATACACTTCACAAAAAACAGACTCTCACACGCACTCGCTCTCGCTCACACTCTCGTTCTCGCTCGCGCTCCACGAATCGATAAGCTAATTTCAAACCATGATAAGAACAAGAACCGATCGAGTACAAATCCTTACGCAGTGGACCATCATGTCCAGGAATGAAATTCCTTTCTTTCCATTTTCCAATGAATGTCGACTGTCACTCCCCTCGATCAGGAACCAGCCAAAAGATTGATCATCCAAAGAAAAATTTAGAAGTGACGACAAATTCCAGAACTGACCAAATAATGTCTTTGTATAATGACTCCCAATCATTATACTATGAACCATTATATAATGTAACAATACAATGGATCATCCACAACCGCCACAACTGCCGCTCATTTGCCTTCCTTGCCAACCAAAACATTACTCAAGCAAAAACGAAACTGTTATCTACCAAATGCATGCAACGCATCATTTAAAATAAAATGCAACTCTCCGAATTCAAGCGGCAAACAAATTATACATTGAATCATATCATCCATTCGCATGGTACGGGAACTGAGTTCCTCTCTTATTAACCATGCAAATTTCCTTCTTTTTTTTTCTTCTTCCATTCTTCATACCGCCAATCAATGCATAGAGAATCAAGTGCATGTATCATAGAAGGCCGCATGTCATGTATGAAACAAATGGCATATACATGAAATCACGAACAATTGATGATCACACACTATAATTGTGCTACACGATTATGCCAAACAATATACAAGAACAATTATTAAGATTCCTTAAAATTGTTGGGTAAATTATTCACATATACTAAATCTGGCAAAACAAGTAACAAATTAAGATAATGTTATCAACACAAGAAATGCATAAGATCACGAAATCAAGCAAATACATATTATTTCCCTGTGAGAAACTTGCGTTGAAAATAAATTGATTGCACCTTTGACTTCTTTGGACAACGATCACTAAACACGGTTCACACCTCTTCAAACACAGTTCGAACGAGGGTGTTCGATGTTTACACGACTCTCGAGACAGATCTACATTAAGTTACTCCTACTCCTATGGAGGTTCTGAGAGAGCTCCAGATCTACGACTATTGATAAAAATTTGCAGAGGAAAGATAAGATTGATAAAACTTGACAAGTGCTGTCGAGTGGTAATTTTTGCGGGGTTCTCCTCTGTCGACTCCCCCTCCTATTTATAGGCCTTGAGATGATAACCGCCGTAGAAACTGTCATAGAGTAACTTCCAAAAAGAACTGCTCCCTGCTTCCTCGGAACGTGGCTGACGTGTCCTTTGAACGTGGGATGAGTAGCCGTTACTTCTCAACTGCCCAAGTACCTCTCTTGAAACCGTCGTAGGATCTTGTAGTTTGCCTCATATATCACGGTCATGGACTTCTTTACTCATGTCCATGGCCCTCTTGGGACTTAGTCTCTAGTGATATAATATTTCATCCCCATGTCATTCTCCTTCGTGTCCATGGCTCCTCTCGTGAGGCGGCATGACCCCTCAGAATTATCATATGGCATGGCCTCTTCTTTGCACCCATGGACCTCTCAATCATGAACATGGCCTCCCTCATGAAGCAGCAAGTCCTTCCCTATACTTAGAATATTTTCGGTTATTTGATTTAGATCATGAGGCGGCATTGCCTCTTTGTTCGCGACCATGGACTTCTTATTCATGTCTGTGGCCCCTTCCATTGGACGACATTGGCATCCTCATACTTAGTATTTTTCACGCGCCCAGGTCCTCTTGTCACGTGTCCATGGCCGTCACATATGACACGGCCATGGACCTCTTAATCATCCACATGGCCCTATATTCTCATACTTAGAATATTTTTTTGTCATACCGGGCCTTCCTTGAGATAGCATGTGCTTCTTTATTCTAGATGGACGCGTTCTTCTTTGATGAGGCGGCATGGCCTCTTCCGGACTTAGTTAAATTTTCACTCCTTCGGTCTTATTGGTGAGGCGGCATGGCCTCTTTAGACTTAGTGGCTTGGGCTTAAAATCAATATCCATAAAGCCCAACTGAAACAACATTAATTGTTATAATGGGGGTGGCCTTATAACCTCATTAATTATCTTGTAACTCACCAATGTGGTACAAGACAACTTTTATGGTGTAAACAAATGCCCCCCAACTACTTAGTGCATAAGAATTATGGACTAAGTAGTTGAACACCACCATGCTAGCGAAAGTAACAAGCTGGCTAGTGTCTACTCAACACACCTAGTTCATCCTTAGCCAAAATTTGGCTTTTAATTATCAAGCCAACATGGCCGGATGGAACTCGACGTCAACGACTTGTACCATGTCTTAGCCAAATTTTGGCTTTTAATGGTCAAGCCACCTAATGCATTCAACGAGACACCAACTTCACTTTATCACATACACCCTCATTGACATCTCGTACTTGGCCCCATGGTTGAGAGAATAACTTAGAATTTTTCGCACCTATTTGGCATAGATTGGCTCATCCCACCTCGTCACAAGGCTAGACAGCTCCATCGCGACAAGTCAAGCCGTCTGCTTTTTTTACTTAGAAAAAATAATGTTCATTTTTATGTTGGTAGAGACATTATGGTCACCACTCCTCTACCACCACTTTCAAGCCATCATGCCCCCCAGGCCGTGGCTACTCGGGACAAGATAACATGGCATGGCCTGATGTATGGTTCGTTATGTCAAGCCATCACAATGACTTGGTGGCAAGATCTTCATGTCGAAGTCTAACAACTCCGACTCAAGATTTTAACTTTGATATTTTCCTTCTATCATTTCTTTTAGCCACGTTTGGCTACAATATTTTTTTTTATATAACTAATATATAATGAGTACATTATATAAATTTATTTATTTTATATGGCAAGAAGTGACAGATGTCACTGCTCTCCATAGCCTTTGGCAACAATCGATGTACCAAAGGTGTACACCCATTGCCAAGTCCATGGATCAAACCAGACATGCCATCCATAGACCACATGACTCTTTTCCTCCATGAGAGATGAATCTTCATACATTAACTTTGAATTTTCTAGCTCACTAATGGGTGGTACATAATCAGCATGTCTAGTTTTGGTGGCATTGCATGAGGTATCATGCTTCTTTGCTTGGGCCACCTTACTTGACATGTCAAGGCTATCATGATTATTCTTCTTCCTTGATTTCCTCCCACTTGATACATGCTTAATCTCCTCACGACGTTGGAGACCAGGTCTAGGCTTGACAAGTCGACAACCACTCGTGTAGCTTTCTTGTCTTCGTCTTTCACCATATAAACCTTGTTGGCCCCTACACTTAGCACTCAAACACCATTGATTCTTTGTGCAACCATGTTTGGCTGGTGTGTATGGTGACTTCTTATACATGCCCCCATGTCCACTCTTGGTGGTTGGTGTTGAGTACTTACTATTCATTGACATGGACTTGCCCCCCAATCCTCCCTTGTCCATAATCTCACGCTTACAAAATCCATGTGGGGGTTTGACTTGTTGTGTCTTCTTGGAGATGCTCCCTACTCCATTCTTCATGGTGGGTGAAATGCTCCCTTGTTCATACTTAGCCAAATTTGCGAGACTGTGACAACTCTTTCTGCCTTTTCCACGTCTTTCCTTATTAAACTTGCCCTCGTGTCCATTGTTTGTGATTGGTGGCATGCCTTCTTGTCCATACTTAGCCATATTATCATATTTATCACAAAAATGTGTGGCTTTGGGTTGATGTGGCTTCTTGGAAACCACCTGCCCCCCAGATGGACATCCCGACTTCTCTTCGTCAAGCTTGAGACTCTTCTTGCACCGAGCACACAACTTGTCCACTTCATCAGTCATCATTGCGGCCGGACTGGCTTGCTTAGTACCCGACGAGCTCCCTTGCTCGAGAACCACGTTGGGGCTTCTTCGAGGTGGTGTTGTATCCAACACCAGCTTGAAGCGTGGCAACTCGACTTTAGAGAAATCCGGGTTGACCATGTTGACGCCAAGCACCTTGGGGAACGGATCAGTGTCCACCAACATGGCATCCTTCTTTGCTTCAGGGAACTTGATACGTCCCTTTTCAATGGCATCCTGCAAGACATTACGGAACACCACACAAGAATCAGTGGCATGTGACATGCTATTATGCCACTTACAATACTTTTTCCCTTTTAATTTCTCGGGTGAGGGAAAGACATGCCCCCCTGTCAACTTGACTTGACCATCCTTATAGAGTTGGTCAAAAATCAAGTCTGCCTTGGAGAAGTCAAAGGAGTACTTCCTTGGCTGAATGGGAGCACGATTGGGTCTCCCCCCTTGTGGTCCCTCTTCAACTTTAGACAAGGAAGCACATATGTATGGCTTCCCTGGAGTTATCTCAGCCAAGTCTACCTCAACCTCATTGGCCTCGTGGCCAATATGATTGATGGTATAATCTAAGTTTGGGAAGTATGATCCCCTTGATGCACTCCTACGATTCTCTTCCTCGTGTAAAAGAGACTCATACCTCACAGCACAAGACATGAGTTGAAATAAATCAGAGAACTCCCTATCTTGAAATTTCTTCCTTAGTTCAAAACTCAAACCCCCTTGTGCCAGCTTGACGAACTCCCTCTCCGTCAAATTAACAAAGCAACGGTTACGGGCATTCTTGAAGTTAGTCAAGAAATGCTCAACCGATTCCCCTGGCTGTTGGCGCATACGTGCCAAGTCAGCCATGGACACCTCAGGCTCAGATCTGTAAAACTGAGCGTGGAAGACTTGTTTCATCTGTTGCCAAGTCTGGATGGAGTTAGACGGCAAGTTAACGTACCAAGCAAAAGCTGGTCCTGTCAACGAGTTTCCAAATAGTCTTAACTTAACAAAATCTCCTACATCACCACATTGAACAGTGAAACGTCCAACGTGCTCTACAGTGGACTGATCTCCAGTTCCTGTGAATGTGGCAAACTCGGGAACCCTGAATCCCCTTGGAAACGGGTAAAGTCTATCTACCCATGCTGGGTACGGCTTACGGTATACAGGTGGCATAGCAGGTCTTACTCCCATGCCAAACTGCTCCGTGAGGAGTTGAGCCACCTGATCCCTAAGAGTGTTGGGCTCATGCCCCCCTTGTTGCCCCCCATATGGTACAAACCCAATGGGGTCCATGCCCTGCCCATTGAAATGGAGTGGCATTGGAGTCGGGTAGCATCGAGGTGGGATTTGATCCATGTTACCACCTAAGCCTCCTCCTACTCCCAAATTCACGGGAGCCACGTAGGGTCTCGCCTCCGGGATAGAGGGACGAACACCCACTTGCACGGGTTTCTGCTCAACTCGAGTGTTGAATATGGTGGTGAGGTTCTCACCACGCGGGGGTACCACATCAACTCCCACGCGTGCCTGTGACGATTCCCCCACTTGAGTTGTAACAGGAATCTCAACATCGCCTACTCGACGTAGAGGTGGTTGGCTTGCCGTTTGATGCGGCAAGTTCTCTTGTCGTGGTTGGCCATTCCGACCACCGGCGGGAGAAAGAACACTATTAGTAGGCGTTAGGCCTGTGCCATCTAATGGCAAAGCTCTTGACTGCACTACTGGTCTACCTAAAGACTGTCGGAGTTGATCCACCTCATTTGCATTTTTGTTGACTACTTCAAGCAATTGACTGAAACGTCTATCTAGGCGAGAATTGAGACAGTCTATCTGAGAATTTACCTGATGAGTATTTGCCCGAGTTTCTTCCAACATGCGGCGGTTCTCCATCAGCATTTGGCGGTTCTCCTCCGTGACTTGATGGGTGTCAACCACCATCTTACGGTTCTCCTCCATCATCTGACGAAGGGCCCCCACGGCTTCGCCAAGTTCTCCACCAGGCGCAGTCGCCACCAAGGTCTCTGCTCCACCATTTCCTCCGGCCACCGCGTCAGATGCTTGGCCATGCTCGATGTTGGCCACCTGCTCCTCCACGAATCCAGCCGGAACGTCCCCTTCCATATTCCTCCGCCTCGGAGCCATCGAATCGACCACAAGTGTCCCACCAGGTGTGCCAAATTTATTTCCCTGTGAGAAACTTGCGTTGAAAATAAATTGATTGCACCTTTGACTTCTTTGGACAACGATCACTAAACACGGTTCACACCTCTTCAAACACAGTTCGAACGAGGGTGTTCGATGTTTACACGACTCTCGAGACAGATCTACATTAAGTTACTCCTACTCCTATGGAGGTTCTGAGAGAGCTCCAGATCTACGACTATTGATAAAAAATTGCAGAGGAAAGATAAGATTGATAAAACTTGACAAGTGGTGTCGAGTGGTAATTTTTGCGGGGTTCTCCTCTGTCGACTCCCCCTCCTATTTATAGGCCTTGAGATGACAACCGCCGTAGAAACTGTCATAGAGTAACTTCCAAAAAGAACTGCTCCCTGCTTCCTCGGAACGTGGCTGACGTGTCCTTTGAACGTGGGATGAGTAGCCGTTACTTCTCCACTGCCCAAGTACCTCTCTTGAAACCGTCATAGGATCTTGTAGTTTGCCTCATATATCACGGTCATGGACTTCTTTACTCATGTCCATGGCCCTCTTGGGACTTAGTCTCTAGTGATATAATATTTCATCCCCATGTCATTCTCCTTCGTGTCCATGGCTCCTCTCGTGAGGCGGCATGACCCCTCAGAATTATCATATGGCATGGCCTCTTCTTTGCACCCATGGACCTCTCAATCATGAACATGGCCTCCCTCATGAAGCAGCAAGTCCTTCCCTATACTTAGAATATTTTCGGTTATTTGATTTAGATCATGAGGCGGCATTGCCTCTTTATTCGCGACCATGGACTTCTTATTCATGTCTGTGGCCCCTTCCATTGGACGACATTGGCATCCTCATACTTAGTATTTTTCACGCGCCCAGGTCCTCTTGTCTCGTGTCCATGGCCGTCACATATGACACGGCCATGGACCTCTTAATCATCCACATGGCCCTATATTCTCATACTTAGAATATTTTTTTGTCATACCGGGCCTTCCTTGAGATAGCATGTGCTTCTTTATTCTAGATGGACGCGTTCTTCTTTGATGAGGCGGCATGGCCTCTTCGTTGAGGCGGCATGGCCTCTTCCGGACTTAGTTAAATTTTCACTCCTTCGGTCTTATTGGTGAGGCGGCATGGCCTCTTTAGACTTAGTGGCTTGGGCTTAAAATCAATATCCATAAGGCCCAACTGAAACAACATTAATTGTTATAATGGGGGTGGCCTTATAATCTCATTAATTATCTTATAACTCACCAATGTGGTACAAGACAACTTTTATGGTGTAAACACATATACAAGCGTCCTAGCTGATAGAATTCATTGTCTCTCCTTATGGAATTTTATTCCCCTCTAGTACCCAAGTTATGGAATGATTCCTCCCATGATAGAAAGGACGTACCTTTTCCGGCGTAGCGGTACCTCAAACCCCGGACACCATCGAACGCAGCAAACTGGCGAGAACCACACTTGACTCGATTTTCTCTTTGCAAAGAATGCCGAAAACTATTTTTTTTATTTTAGCAGAGTTTTGTTACCAGGAAACGTCTATATCTAGTAATCAAAACTAGAGGGGGTATGATTCTATTTATAGAAAATGAAGGGGTATGTACGAAGGGAGGCAACTCTTCGTATGGGTGGTTACACCCCAACCATTGCAATGGTTCGTTTAAAATATTTCAACCATTGCATCGGTTCGGCCCCATGGAAGTTGGACCGATTTGGTTATTCCAACCGCCATATGGTTCGGTTCGATTTGGTTCAACTTGGTTCAATTTCGTCCAGTTGGTACAAACCCAATTCAACCGATTACCCACATATATTACATCAAATCGATCGAATTCGAGGTCGTGCATTTCCACATCTTACCAACATGGTACTTCAAGAGACTCTCTTGGATCCTTCCCCTTTCATTTCCATATTCACACCACTAAAAATCCCAACTTAAAATAGTTGTTTTACAACACTTATGTGTCACTTTAAATGATTAACAAATTACTTAACACATAAAAATAAGAACACAACTAAAAAAAATTCATAGAATCGTAGATCAATGGTTCATAAAGTTCTTGAGTTATTGAAAAGATGGAGATTATAGACATTGTAAATTTCTCCTTTTTGATATTGACTGTTTAACTCCGTCCAGTTACACCAAGGTATGGTTGAATTGCGCAATCGTGTTCAAAAATAGTAATTTGTTGCGAAACCTCTACTCAAAGCATTTTGGCTTTGCCTAGTAAGCTTAAGTGTGCCTTTTTGAATCATGAAAAAAACAAGGTTTCCATACCGAGGTCATACTAGAAAAATCACTGATAGGATATTTTTATAGTAAAATCGCGATTTAATAATGTTCCACTGTTTTTACTACTAAAACAACCTACTGTTTGATGCGGTATGCGATATTTCCAGTCGAATCGGCCGATGCGGTAGGGATGGCAATTTTGCCCATACCCATGGGTATTTTACTGTCCAACCCAATTGGGTTGGATATGGATTCCAAATAAATGGTAGATGGGTAGAGGTAGATGGATTTGTACCCATACCCATTTACTTGGGTTGGGTTTTTAACACATGGATTTGGGTTTGTACCCATGCCCAAAGGCAAATTACAGTTTGGTACCTAAACTTAATAAATATGCATATTTAGTACCTAAATTTAATTTTTTTTGCATATAAGTCCTCAAAATATTGATGGAAAATTACATTTTAGTACCTAAAATTTTTTGGTCTTACATTTTGGTACCTAAACTTTTTGAGTTTTACAAATAGGTCCAATTTTTGTGTGTGTAGTTAAAACACCCTCAAGTAAATGGATATCCATATCCAACCCATACCCATTTACATAATGAAAGCAATATTCATACCTAACCCAAATCCATCTACAAACCCCCAAACCCATATACACTTCATACAAACCCTACCCATACTAAATGGATCTATTTGGATTTGGGCAAAATTACCCATGGGTGGATAATTGTCATCCTACGAAGCGGTAGGGTTTTTTTAACATTGGGGGGAAAACGGAGGGATCAACCCTTAGGCTCTCGGTGCAGTGACGAAGTAGGGGAATAAGAATTGGGCCAGTTCTCTTTGTTTGGTATTTGAGCCCAATCCAAGCCTACCAACGTACTTCTGAATTCTGATTGTGATTCTAATTTCAGCCTTAATTATCAACAATGGGGTTGGCCCAAGTAGAAGTAAAAGATGGAAGTCGAAGGACCTCTTAGTTTTTCCTTTCGTCCTTCTTCCTCTTCATCTTCATCTTCCCATTTCCATTTCTGAATTACCCTTCTCCAGATTTTCCCTCTATAACTAACAATTCAAGCATGAAAATAATTTTATTCACTACTGCATATCTTCTTTTTCTGCATGTCCGTGTAATCATTATGTTCCAACGAAAAAACTACATTAATTGTTATGTTCAGTGGTTGTCACTTCATCTAATTTTTTTTATTAGGGCCATATTGATTGAATTTTATTGTTACATACTACATAAGAATTTGAATTTGGGACCTCAAAGTTGAATACGAGCACTCCCTGGACCAAGTGAAATAAATTTTATTTTTACATCATAATCTATTTTTTTCCTTCATTTTGCAACTATTTGGAATCATATGGATAAGATTAGAGGGCATGCGGTGATGTGAATCAGTTGAGAGACTTCATGATTTAGAAATAGATTTAGTGATTTACATATTAAGGTCTTTTGTTTCTTTTTCTCGAAACTACACAATGCTAGTGATTGCAATGTCATGAATCATAATAAACCGGCAAATATAAAAATGGGTCCCAAATGTATCCAATATAATGTCATCTAATGCTTTTGATCTTTTCGAGGAGTGACAACATTGACTTGTTATAAGAAAAATTCAATGAGCATGTAAATTTAATAAGTAATAAGTAATAACCCAATTATACAACAAGAAAACTCAAATAGGTTAGGGTGTGGCAGATTCACTAAGTTAGTGTTGCTTTGAAATTTTAGAATTATTGTCTAACTTGAGATAAGAATTTTTTTTTTAAATAAGGGTGACATAGGGTAATTTTTGTATTTATGTACTACGGAAGGAATTCAAACCTTTATGTCCAACCTTGTCCTTTTGAGATAGGGCAAGATAGCGTCGTTATATGAGAGCACATTGGTCATACCCCTATGCTAGAGAATATGGTGTGCACTCTAGCAAATAAATTAAAATAATAAGTTTATGATTTAAAACCACTTAAATCCATTATAAGAAACAATTGAAATTGACAAAATGATACCATTAACTAAAATGAATAACATTGAAAAATATACACATAAATCCATTATACCAAACAATTGATATTAGCAATATGAATACCATAGATTTTTTGAAAGATATATACATACATATAAATCCATTATACTATTCTGTAAATCATATTGGTTGTTTAACGATTTAAGCTAATACAAGTGAACTCGTTAGACTCTTAGGAGCGGTATACATCCCTTTAGAAGCGCAACATTTTTTAAGAGAAAAATGGGGGAATTCGAGGATCACTTAAGACCCGATTTTCCCACGAAATGGGAGGATCATGATGATGGCTTAAGAACCCATTTCTTTAGGCATGCATCTCTTTATACAGAGTCTAAGTAAGTGTCACACTCTGCCATTCTTTGGCTACCTCCAATTCTTCTCTCCTCATTCCCAAAATAATTTAACCTACCTTCTCATCACTCCAATTCTTCTCTCATACCGATCAAACCATCATTATTACCAATGGCCAATCAAATAGAGTTCTTAGTGAAAAGTAATTGCACTTAAGCTTTTATATATACAAATAGCGTAAGCCCTGGCGTACGTTAGACTGACGTACGCTCGTTAGAGTTTTGCTATTTAGATCATGAATTAACCCGAGTTTTGGGCATGATACTATACCCTAACCACTAATGGATAAACCCCCGTCCCTAGTTTTCTAACCCAAATCATGAGATTCATTTAATCTTATATTGAAAATCAACAATAATTTCGACGAATCAGAACCGTTGATTTTCATTTCAAGATTAAATGAATATTATGCTTTGGGTTAGGGAATTGCTTACTGGGGTTCACCCATTAGGGGTTAGTGTATAATATCATGCCCCAAACTCTGGTTAATTCATTGTCTAAATAGTAAAACTCCACGGGCGTAGGTAGCCTTTGCCATATATATATATGGAGACGACATGTATGCTCCAGATGATCTGACCGTTAGATTTACATGGATTAGCTCCGGCCAATCTCAGAGGTCAACTCCTTTTTTCTCTTAAATTAAATTTTGGGTTTGGGATTAAAAA